TGGGATTGGCACAAAATCAGGGATTTGGGAATGGTTCTGTGGGGGCTTTGATGCTGCCAGGGCATGCAGGGGGTGTTTCTGCTCTGGTGTGCATCTCCTTGCATTGGTACACTGCTGAAAGCATCCACACAAAAGGCAGGAGGCATGAGGCAGAGGATGGAAAATAGGGATATGTGGAGGGCAGGCTGGTCATGCATGTCCTCTTCAGTTTCCCCAGTGGAGCCCAGGCCCGTGTTGTCCTGTGTGTGAAGACAATCAGCCTCATTGCCTTGATCTGCCTGCGGATTGGGCAGGAGATGGTGCAGCAGCACCTGAGTGACACAGTGAGGAACTTCTTTGGGGCATTCTCGCTGCTGCAGGAGCTGCAGGACCAGGTCAGTGGTGTGGGAGAAGTCCTCCTGCACTTCCCCAGATGCAGGAATGTGATGGGCCTACCTGGCTGTGTTTGTGTGGTAAGAGCATCTCATCTTGGGGTTTATCTGATCTTGTTTTTCTTGTCCAGGGGTTGACAGCAGAGTCACTGAGCAGCTGTGAGGTGCCAGTGATGGAGGTGCCCCTTTCAGATGGGAAGCTGCTGGCCCTGGATCCATCCGTGCTGGTGGAGTTACAGAAGGTGTTCAACCCTGAAATGGCCTACATCACCTACATCCCCTTCTCCTGCTTGCTGGGTATGCCTTGGCCACCAGCTCCAGGGATCTGTGAGGGAGCTCCGTGCTCTGGGCATGCATGCTGGATCTGAACTCCAGGGCAGTCACAGGGCTGCTGGGGGAAACCCACAGCTGCTACAGCATAGCTTGGGCTGATTCTTGGGTTGGGAACCCTCTGGACTTCACTTCCCATGGCTGGGAGCAGATGTAGCTGACTTGGGGGATGCTGTGTCCACATCCCTGTGTATGGAGGGGGATGATGATGATGGGGGAGACATTGCTTCCCTTGCAGCCACGTTGTCTCTGTCTCCTCAGGTGACGTTATCCGCACGGTTGTGCCCAACCACTCTCTGGTTGAGAAGCTGGCCAGCCTCCACCTGGAGAACGTGAACCCCCAGAACCTGCAGGACGTTGGCCTGGAGCAAACACCGAGTGTGGTGGGCTCAGACCAAGACCCTCGAGGGGCTGAGCCCTTCTCCAGCCCCCAGGAGGACACTCACTCTGGCACTTTTGGGAGTGTCCTGGTGGGGAACCGCATCCAGGTGCCCGTGGACACGCAGCGGGAGGGTCTTGGCTTGCTCCACCTCAGTGCTGGCACTGATGGATTCGCTCCCAGCTCATCCAGCGAGGAGAGTGCCCTGAAGCACGACCTGCCCCGCAGCACCCACATGCTGTGTGGGAACTGGCTAGCCTACTGGCAGTATGAGATCGGGGTGAGCCAGCACGACCCTCGCTTCCACTTCCACCAGATCAAGCTGCAGAGTTTCTCAGGGCATTCTGGGGCCATCAAGTGCGTGGCACCCCTGGGCAGCGAGGACTTCTTCCTGAGTGGCAGCAAGGACAAGACGGTGCGGCTTTGGCCGCTGTACAACTACGGGGATGGCACCAGCGAGGTGCCGCCGCGCTTCACCTACGCCGAGCACAAGAAGTCTGTGTTCTACGTGAGCCAGCTGGAGGCACCGCAGCACGTGGTGAGCTGTGATGGCACCGTGCACATCTGGGACCAGTTCACTGGTAAGGAGGGAAAGGGTGAGGAACTGGAGTGAACTGGTCCAGCCCTTACAGGCAGGGGCTGTGCTGAGTTTGGATGGCTCTTGTTAAAACCCAGCACAGAGCTGGAGATTTGCTTTGTGACTTGTCCTGCCGTAATATCTGTCATCTTTTCACAGGCAAGCTTCTGCGGACCTTTGATGAGTTAGACAGCAAAGTCCCCATCACAGCTGTGACCACCATGCCACCTCCCTACCACAGCATCTCTGTGGCCAGTGCAGACTCTGTGCTGAGGTTCATCGACCACAGGAAGCCAGGACTACAGGTAGGGATGTGATGCTGTGAGTCATCTTCCTCCAGCCCTGTGCTTAACGATGGGATCACAGCTGGGCCAAATCCCAGATCCCAAAGCCAGCTGTGATGGCTCCATGGAAACCAGCTTGTCCCTTAAATGCCAGCTCCCCTGAGCTTCACCCCCCAGCTGGACTGTCTGTGTTGCAGCACGAGTTCCGCCTGGCCAGCGGCGTGAGCGCGGGGCTCATCCGCTGCCTGGCCGTGAGCCCGAGCGGCCGCAGCGTCATGGCCGGCTTCTCCTCCGGCTTCATCGTGCTGCTGGACACCAGGACAGGGCTCATCATGCGGGGCTGGCCTGCCCACGAGGGAGACATCCTGCAGATCAAGGTGAGAGGCTCAGCTGGGATCATGGTGGGGCCTCATTGATGCTCTGAGGCTGTGTGGAGCGTCCTTCCTTCAGAACTTGTGTGCTCCATCCCTTGCAGGGCTTGTGTGCTCCATCCCTAAGCGGCTGCCCAAGCTCTCCTGCCCCATGGTTAGTGCTGCTGCCAGCTGTTCTTGGTCCAGCTCAGGCTGCCAGAGTTCAGACCTCCTGCGTTGCAGCAGGGGCAGGGAGGAGTCGTGGCTCCTGTGAAGGAGCAAATGTGTTCTTTCTCCACGGGGCTCTGGGCTTCCCTGGGAGAGTGTTGCTCTAATGAGTAACTCTTGTCCATATTTACCCACCCCAGGGAGCAGTGCTGGGTCTCCAGTGTCCTCGACCCAAGTGTGGGTTAAACAAAGTTCAGCAGTGTGGGTTGTTTACCCTCTCACTAGCTCTGCTAATAAGCAGCTCCAGGCTTCTCCTACCCTCAGCAGCATATTCAACTGTGAGAAAACCTCCCAGTTCCTTCTCCTGAGAAGGAAAATAGTTTAGCGGGTGATTAAGTGGAGAGGGAGACTGCATAGTAATCCCTGTACACACTGCAGTGGTAACAGATGATGTATGAGTTGTGTTGGGTGTCAGGGTGTTTTTGAGAAGATGCCCACTCCATCTCTTGGAGGAGATTGCCAGCTACCAGAGCATCCTTTACCTTGCAGTGTCCACCCCAGGCCTTGCTCAGTACCATCAGCTGCTTGGAAATGGCTCTGACTGTCCTGAGGGATTGCTCTGTGACCATTGCATCACTGGCAGCCACCTGCTGCTCTCATTTGCAGCACCAGATTGTGAGTTTTTACAGAAATGTCTGTTCACTGGCCTTTCCTCTCCTGCAGGCTGCAGAGGGCAACGTGCTGATCAGCTCCTCTTCAGATCATTCCCTGACTGTCTGGAAGGAGCTGGAGCAGAAACCTTTGCACCACTACAAATCTGCCTCCGAGCCCATCCACGCGTTCGACCTCTACGGTAACGAAGTGGTCACTGGCACTGTGGCCAACAAGATCGGGGTCTACTCCATGCTGGAGTCCTCAGCCCTGCCCACCAGCACGACCAAGCTGAGCTCAGAGAACTTTCGGGGTACATTGACCAGCCTGGCAGTGCTGCCCACAAAGTGCCACCTCCTGCTGGGCTCGGACAACGGCATCATCCGGCTCCTGGCGTAGCGACCCCGGCCTGGCAGCCTGTGGCTGTCCCTGGAGCTGGAAGCCAGCAGCATGGCTTTTGGAGGAGGCAGAGTCAGATGTTTCTGAGCAGAGGATGCAGAGGGAGGTGTACTTGTTACGTCTCTAAGCTCTTTCTGTATCTTGAAAAAGAAAAAAAAAAAAAAGCCATAACTGAGAAACCTCCGCTGCTGCTGGGAGAGATATTGGGCGTTGTAGGTCACTGTCACCCCTGCAGAGAGGCCTGGAGCTTTCCTTACCGTGTGTGCCTGATCCCCAGGGGACTGTGAGCTGCCCTCCACTGTAATAGGGACCACAGGTACCCTCCCCCCTTCAGTTAGGGGGTGAGAGGTGCCCCTTGACAAAACACAACAGTTTAGCTACTGCCACCTGCACTTCCCTTCCCCTTCCTCTGCTGAACCACTGAACAGCCCCACTGGGATGGCAGAAGCTGGGGCTGGCAACTGCTGCCTTTGGAGCTGCATCTCCTCCTCCCATGGCTGGTGCTCTGTGAACTTCAGGTTCTGGCAGCTGAGTTAGAGCCTGCATGGGAGGAGGAGAGGCTCACCAGAGCCCTTCTGCTGCCATGCTGGCTCCAGGGCAAGGACTGGAATGGAAGCCAGCCAAGGCACAAACCCCATCTGCCCTGCCAGTTCCTGTCAGAGTGGGCTGCTGCAGAGGGGCAGGTGGGGTGGGAATGTGACTCTCTAAGGAGGCCAGAACTAGATGCTTCCATGGGGATTTTGGCTTCTGGAGCAGTGGGGTAGGGCTGTTGTTGGTTCCTGCCCCAGCATCCCATGATGATGTAAGGGGTGAGGAATGCCATGTGTGCTATGCACTGGCATTGATCCTCAGTAAATCCTAATCCTCTCCTCTGTGCTGGTCAGGCTCCTGGGGAAGACAGGACAGCAAAAAGGTGCTCAGTTTTGTGCCCTCCTGCCCTTGTAGGGTGAGAGGCAGGAGGCAAGAACCCAGCATGGCCTCTCTTTGACCTTTCCTTTGGGACAGCACTGTCTGTTCCCACCCCAAAGGCACAGAGGGTGCTCTTTGCCCCACGAGTAGGAGCAGTTTCCTCCCTTCTGTGTCAGCCCTTTTCCCATCCATCCTTCAGCCTAGTCAGAGCCAGTATCAGGGGAGTGGGAAGCTCTTGGGCAGAGGAGGAGCCTGCTGTGGGTTGTCCTGGGAGGGGAAAGGGCTTCCATGCAGCTGCCACCTGCAGGGAGCTGGGGAGGTGAGTGGCTGGCCAGTGCTGCCCTTCCCTACCCAAGGGGAGCTCTTAGTCCCGTGTTGCCTATTAAGCATTTGCAATAGATGTAAATATTTACTTCTAATATACTCTTTGAAAGAACTGCAGAGCTCTGTGTGTGTGTGTAAGCTCTGTGCTGGAGGGGCTGGGTGTGCTGGCTGCAGCTCTCCTGCTGCTCAGCCCAAGTGACACCTCGTCCTTCAGGCTCCTCAAGTGTTCTGGGGGAGCCCTGGATGTAGGACAGCACTCTGCTGCACATGATTTGCTTTCCAAGGGGAAGTAGCTCCCAAATGTGGTTGGAGAGCTCAGATCTGTCACCCACTGTCTGGGTGAGCTTGGGAACCAAGAGTTGCTGCAAGGAATGGAGTGGAAGATGCTGTTGGTGCTCCCTGCTGGCCTCAGTGACTCCTCTCCCCCCGAGGACACAGGCAGAGGCAGGAAGGATCACCACCACTTCTGGTACAGCACAAATCCACCCAGGGCAGCTCTGCTGGAGTTCTGCCCATCCCCAGGACTTTTCCTCCGTGCCCCAGCAGTGTGTGCATGCCCTGGGCACAGGGACCAGCTGCCCTGGGAGAGCTCTGGAGCGTGCTGTGCTCCAGGGGAGGGAGCAGCTGCTCTTGGCTCAGCCAGCCTGGCCATCAGAGCCTGCTGTGTGCAGCCACAGCACCCTGGGCACCTGCCCTGTTAAACCAGTGCCTCACACTGGGTGCAGCAGCTGGGACTCCAGGAGGGAAGAGCTGGGGGTTTCAGCAAAGAAAATTCCCAAACCAGACAGCCCTGTGGCAATAAACACTGAACACTGCATTTTCACTGAAGTTTATGAATAAAAGCACATATTCCTAGCACGGGGAGTGTATGCAGAGTGGAGCCACTTGTAAATTACTTCTGCTGTGGGAGTTTTGGGATCTGGTAAACTCGGTGTTAAGGTTGTCTTGAAGATAGAGCAGCCCAAAAAGTGTGTCCCCATCTCCAAATGCACCACAGATTCACTCTTCTCCCCCAAACAAATGTTTAACCGGATGCTGTAGGTCAATATTTGCCTGCCAAATTCCCAAACAGGGGGTGGTGCTGAAGGTCGCTGCTGGGAGGGGGGGCTGGACTAGAGCTGTGTGTGCCCCAGGCAGAGCTGCTGGACAGGCTGAAGCAGGTGCCAGCTCCAACGTGGACATGAACAACCTCAGGTAAGGCACAAAGCAAAGGATTTGACAGAAATGAGGGCTCCTGCAATGGCCCTCTGGGAGTAAAGGGGGCAGAGGGTTAAAGGATGGGCACTACCAGGGAGGAAAAGGGGTATTGGGGGTTGTATGTGACTGCAGGATTTGGGGTGAAGGAAGGGGAGGAGTGAGCTGGTCTCAAGTTATCTTCTGCCAGTGGGATCTCAGCCCAGCAGTTCTGGGAGAAGTAAGGGCTGCTTGGAGAGTGGAAAGCAGCCCCAGGAATTAAATGTGGACGCCATGCAGGGGGCAGGGCTTGGAGGTTTCCTGAGAAGGAGAAGGTATTTTATTTCTGTCTGAAAGGGAAAAGTGGCTGGGTGAATCGTTGGCCAGGGAAGGGGTGGGGTTTTGTCCGTGACCCTGGAAGCCCTGTCCCACACTGGAAGTGGAGCACAGAGGGGAGAGAGGCTGGGTTTGCCAGCAAAGGGGGAAGATGAGTGCTGGGAAGGGGACTCCTCCCCCTTCCAGGACATAATGCCGGGAAACTGCTCTGGTATTGCACTTGGTACCTGCAAATTCCCTCCCAGGCAGCGCTTGCTGAGCACCTGCAGGTCAGTAGCCCTTCTCCCAAGAGCCTGGGGCACAGCTGAGGATGCTGTGCCTGTATCCTGCTGGTTTCCATGGGAAAGGAGCAGAAAGGCTCGTCTCCTTCCAGAGGCACAGTGTGTGCAGCACTGATTAGGGAAATACCATTTGCAATCCAGAGAAACCAGGGCAGCAGGGTCAGAGAGGCAGGATCCAAGCACAGCCTGGCTGTGGCTGCAGCTCTGCTGTGGGCCCCTGCTCCTCTCTGCTTTCCCTGCCTTGGCACCAGACCCAGGAGCCCTGTGTTGTTTCTCTGCAGCATTGTTCATCTCCCTTTTGCTTTCCACGAGCTCCTGTGCCAACCTGTTTGGCCAGGTTGATAATTTTCTCCCTGTAGACCTGAACAGGCTGAGCTCGCAGCTGGAAATAACTCCTCTCTCGGCTGGTCCTTGTGTTCCAGGAAAATGGGGTTCCTCTGGGGGCTGCTCTGCCTGGCTGCTCTGCACAGCCTCCCAAGGGTAAGTTGCTACTCCAGCAAAGAGCAAGGGAAGTGTGGTGGCTCCCTGAGCCAGACCATGGGCAAATACCACCCAGAAAAGCCCTGGAAGGCAGATTGGTGGAGGATACTGCTGGGGGGTTCACCAGCAAGGTTTCTAATGTTTTACCCAGCTAAAATAGTTGTGGATGTTCTTATTATTCATATTTCTGTAGAAATTTTTCTTTTGGAACTTGACCTCAACTGTATTTGGTGACCATGACCTTCAGGAGTTAACAGGAACTTTTAGAAAAGCAGGTTTTTCCTCCCCCCTCACTTTTAAATCTGGATCCCTGTCAGAACTGAGATTGCAAAACCCCACTGCTCACTCTCAAAAGGATCCATTATTTTGTGCCAGACTGGCCTGATCCCTTTCTAAACAAATCCAGTGTTTGCAGTGTCTCCCAGCTGCTCCTCACTTCCACCTCAGACCCTGCCACCCCTTGGTCTGCATCCCAAAATCCTGCCCATGCTGGTGCCTTGTGGGGACTGCTACAGCCAGGATTGCAGTGGGAGCAGGGAAGACACACTCTGGAAATTCAGAGGGACCTGACTTTTTTTGTTTGTTGATTTTTTTCCCCCACAGCTGGCACATGCCACTGACCAGCAGCGTCTCTTCCTGGACAAAGATGGGAAGCTGAGGGTAAGCACTGACAGGTTCTACCCCAGGGGCTGAAGTTGTGCTGTGGGATTTGCAGTTTTTCCTGAGAAGGGATGAGCCCAGGCAGTGCCAGTGCCAGGAGAAAGTCCATCTTTCTGCAGGCTTTACTCCCAGCTGCTGCCAATGCTGTGCTCCTTCAGGTTGGAAGCTCCACCCTAAAAAATTGAGCAGAGCATGGAGTTAACATCAGTATGGTGCGTACAGGGCTGGCAGGTGGGTGATTTAACTTCTGATTGATAAGGAAAGGTGAGGGAAACCACCAGCTGTGAGGATGACAGGGAGAAAGATCCAACCCACTGAGCCTGAGATGTTTCAGATCATGCAAATGTGAGGCAGTACTAAAGGCTAAAGCTTAGAAGAGTGGAAAATGAGGAAATGTAGAGAGAAGAAGGATGGAATAGAACACACAGGTCAAGAAAACACAGATGCCTAGAGGAGGAATTGAGCCAAACTGGATCAGGACTGTGACAGCAGCAGAAGGGGTGACCAGTGTGAGGCAGGTGGGCACTGCTGAAATGTGTGAGGGGAGGAGATGAAATCAAGGCTGAAGATGATGGAGCTGTAAATGCTGAAGGCACAGGACATGTGCTGAGCTGGTGGTGAGTCTTGCCCTCAAGCTTTCCTGAGAGCAAGTAGAGGAAGAACCACTGCCAGACCCTCACTGGCTCCATTTTCACAAGATACAAGACCTCTTTTCCAAACCATTCTCCTCAGGGTTAAAGGGAAACTGAAGCAAAACCACCACCAGAGCAGAGCAGTCCAGCTCTGCCCAGTTTTCTGAGCCCATTTAGGTGTGCAGTGAAAGCCCACGAGGGTGTCACTGTGCTCTTGCTTTCCCAGTGCTATCCTTGTTTCTCCCCAGGACTTGAAAATTGCTGGAATTGCACAGTCGGATTTGCCTGGAGCCATCCCAGCCCTGCCAGAGGGAAAGATGGTAGAATTTAGTTATGACAGCTTCCAGGAGAAGGATGGACCCATGTCAGCATTCCCCACCACCCTGTCAGACACGAGGGATGACTGGAACTCAGAAGATGAAGCTGTAGCTGGGGCTGGGGGCTGTCCTGGGAAGAACTCACCTGGGGAAAACGCCTCTTCTGAAGAGGAAGGAGAGGCTGGAGATAAAAGCTGTGAGATGACTTGGAAGAAGAGCCAGAGGCTGGCAGATGGCTTGATGAGATTCAGCATTGATCTCCTGAGAGAGGTGCAGCTGGAGTCCAACAGAACCAACGTGATCCTGTCCCCCCTCAGCATCGCCCTCGCCTTGTCTCACCTGGCTCTGGGTAATTCTTAGTGGCAAAACCACCATTCCCTGCCCTTCCCCATCTCCTTTCCCAGAGGCATGAGCAACCAGATGCAAATGAAATACAGTCCCTTCCACTTATCCTTGCTCCTGCAGCTTTAATTAGGCATGATTACAATTGAAGCTGCCCTCTGAGGCTCCGACTCTCAGATTTCTCCAGCCTCTTTTGTGAGGCACAGCGTGTTTCTAACAAGAGGCAGCCAGAGTAACATCCCTGTTTTCCACTCCGTGGGCATGACACCTAACAGGAATTTGATTTTTAGGAGCAGCAAATCAGACAGAGAAGCATTTGCTGGAGGTGATGCACCTGGAGTCAGTGCCCTGCCTCCACCACATGCTGGGCACCCTTTGCAGGAGGCTCACAGAGTCCACCCTCAGCCTTGGCTCACGTCTGTACCTGCAGAAAGGTGAGAGGTGGCCCGGGGGGGCTGGACTGGTGTAGGACAAACCTCCCAGTCACAGAGAGGGATGGAAGCACCCTGGAGACATCAATTTCCCCTATTTCTTCCTCTTGGGGAGTGTCATATGACACTGAGCAAACCTTTTCCATCATTCCTCCCCTTTGCCAGGGTTTGAGGTGAAAGATAAGTTCCTGGAGGATTCAGAGAAATTCTATGGAGCAAAGCCCAAGACCCTTTCTGGGATCAGTCAGGACGACCTCATGGCCATAAACAACTGGGTAAAGGATGTCACTCATGGGCAAATTCCCTCCTTCCTCCAGCAGCTCCCTCAAGACACAGTGATGCTCCTGCTCAATGCCATCTATTTCCACGGTGAGCTCCACAGGCCTTCCTTATTTTTTCAAGAGGAAATAGCTAGAACTCCAGTTTTCTGCAAGCCCCGTAGCTGAACAGCCTCTCCTCTCCTCTCCTCGCTTCCTGCTAGGCAATCTGCTTGTTCTTGTGCATCTGCTGTTCCTCTTGCTTAGATTTCTTTACAGTAATAATTCCCAACTGCTTCACATGTGCTAAAAATGTTACTTGACAGCAGAGCCAGGACACAGCAGGTGGGACCTGCAGTGTCTTTGCCTCCTGGTTCAGGATCCCAGGCAGTGGCACATCCCTGCTCATCTACTCAGTGATCTTAAAGGTCTTTTCTAACCTAAATGATGAACCAGGTCGTTTGCAGCTCACTGCACACCCACCACAGAGCTCAGAGGCAGCTTCTGTGGATTTCTCTCTGACTACAGCACAGTGGTCGGCCACATCTTCCTTTTTTAATTCCCTGAGGGCTGTGCACAGACCAAACACTTCCAGTGTAAATCTACAAACGTTTTACCTTGGTCTTGGAGTAGTGTTTCCCTCTCTGCAGCACAGAGGCAATACTCCCCATTTTTCAAAGCACAAACATAGTTTCTTTTATCTCCATAGCCTTCAGTAGTCTCCCACGCTGAGGCATGAGGATTAATCCATGTTCTTTTTTGTTATCCCATAGTTTCTCTCGGGATGATAAGATTTTCCTGCTGTTAGGGCTCTTCCAGCCTTGGTACTGACTTCTCTTTGCTGTATTTTCATTTCCCTGGTCACTATTGGCCTTGTTAGAGAACTCAAGATAGGAGGAGTGTCAGCTCAGCAGTTTCTGGTTTTCTACTCAAATTTACCTTCAACACTTTCAAAACTTTTATTTTTACAGGGTTTTGGAGGAATAAGTTTAATGCAAGCTTCACTGGGCCAGATGTGTTCCACCTTGACAATGAGTTTGTGGTCCCAGTTGAGATGATGAAAGCCCACCAGTACCCCCTGAGCTGGTTTACTCTGGAGTCCCAGGATATTCAGGTAGAGATCTCTCAGGAGTACAGCAAATTTTCACTGGAATTTCCTCTTGCTCTGGTATTTTACTAACTGCAAGCATTCCCTTCAAAAAACCAAATGTTTTTTTTTAACAGGCATAGCACACAAAAATTTAATAATCATTCTTTGTCCTTGCTTCCAGCAAGAATGTTGAAACTTCACTTTTAATCTCTAGGAAAAACCAAAAAGAGATATTCCGACTAACTGGGAATTAATAGAATTTTAAAGCTCTGAGTTAAAGATAAATGAGGAAATATGGAAAGAAATTCCCTCAGACAATGTGCTGTTGGAGTTTTTCAGAATCCAGAAAATTTTTCAGAATCCAGCTTTCACTCTGCCATGTGCTCAACTTTACCAGCCAGTGGCTAATACTAAAATCTAAAGCTAAATTCTCCTCTGGAGAAATCAGACCCCTCCTTCTCACCAGGCTGTTTTCATCTGGGAGCAAGAATGGCCCTGTAGACCAATTAGAAAAATACTAAATTAAAAGCATCACTTTGTAGACTTCCCTTCCTTTTCCCTGAATTCTTCTCTGGTTGGTTTTATTTCCAGGTGGCCAAGTTTCCCTTTAAGAGTAATGTGAGTTTTGTGGTCATTGTACCAAACCACAACACCCGGAACACCTCTCACGTGCTGGAGAACTTCCCTTACAAACAACTGTGCAGGCTTTTCCCCAGAGAGGTGCCCACCACAGTGAAGATCCCCAAAATAAAGTTGGACTACCAGCTGGAACTCAACCAGGTTCTCAGCCAAATGGGTAAGGCCTCTGGCAGGGTTTGCACAGAACAAGAGGAGCTGATCAATCTGTTCGCTGACACCAAAAGCTGCCACCCTTGTTTCTAAAGCTGTGCCTCACAGCTTGCTCCAGAACTCCAAACTCTCTCAGCTCTTCTTCCTCTCCTCCTCCTTACTCCTTGCTTGCCTGGCACCAAATGTTTTGCTCCAACTAGATGATACTACAGAGAATTCACAGCTTCTCACAGTCTTTACGAGATCTTCCTATTGTAGCCAAGACCAACTTCCCCTGTGCATCAATCTCAGTCTCTTTGTCATTTAATTGTGTCCAGGACATGGAAATTGCCAACAGAGAAAATGCAGATCACAAAACCTGGAGCTGAAATAAAACATTGGGTTCTGCCTTTCCAGATGAGAATAATTTAAGAGTTCACTTTGTTTTGCAAAGAATTGCTTTAAAAAATAATTTCTGTTGAAGTGTTTCCAGCCTAGCTAGAAAGAGTCTTCAGACTTGCTGCTGCTTTTTAAGGATGACTTCAAGTTCTTACACTACTGTTCTTAAAGAGGTGGAATTTTTGTTTCTCTTCCCTGTCAGTTCTCCAGTCCTTCATGGTGGGCAGCACATGGAGCAACAGATCAGGGAATTGCTTTCTTCAGACAGCTTTGAGAAAACTCATAACTCATGGCACCAACTTGGTCTCGTTTCTCTGCAGGCCTCCAGGAGCTGTTCACGAGCCCAAATCTCCAGAAGATCACAGAGAAGCCTCTCTTTGTGTCCAGTGTACAGCACCAGGCCACCCTGGAGCTTAAAGAAGATGGGGTGGAAGCATCTGCTGCCACCAGTGTCGTGCTGTCACGCTCAGTCTCTGCCTTCAGCATCGACAGGCCCTTCCTCTTCATCATCTTCGAGGATGAAACAGGGATCCCACTTTTTATTGGCAGTGTCCAGAACCCCAACCCAGATGCTGCTCCCCAGATCCGAGAGCCACAGGACTCACGTGAAGCCACAGAGGCCAACAAGCACCGCGTGCCCAAATAGCCGAGGGCAGAGCTGAGTGTTCTGGGACTCCTGCCTGACCCTCTGGACCAGCTGGGAGAGGCCTCCTGCCCCTCTGAGGCCACAGGGGGCAATTCCTTGCTGTTTTCTTTTCCAGATCCCTAGAGACCAGTCCTGGGATAGCCCATTCCAGCCCTGATGAGCTTCTCCAGGTTGAGGCTCCCCTCTGTTGAACCTGAAAAGCTTGTTCTGCCTGGATTTCCCTTCCAGGGCTCTCAGTCATGGACGGGAGACTTTTTTGTCCCCAGACTGCTATTAGAGTCTTCATTAAGATCTTATTAGAGTCCCCTGTAGCCTGGAATCATCATTAGCATCTGGCAGCTTGGACATCAGCCAGGGCTGTATTAATGTGGCTCTTCCTTCCGCAGTTCCTGGGAACACGAATCCCTCCGTGTTCCTCTGAAAACCATCTGCGCCCACCTAGACAACGACCTCCAGAGCAACTGGACTAGAAACCAGTTGTCTTCTCTAGGATGAGTCACAGCCACTTCCAGGCATGGGTTCTTTTCAAAGATTCCCTTTTCCCACTCCTTGGCTATTTGGATCTGATGTAGGAGGCTCTGCTGTAGGAAACCCCTCCCTTTGGATCCTTCTCTCCAGCCCTTCTTCTAGAGGCTGGGTAATGTTAGATTTTGCAAGGCATATTTTATAAAGTGTTTTTTAGTAATTTTTATGTTGGCAGAATAATAAAGAATAAAGCAGAATATATTTGCTGAAGGTGTTGCATTGAAGGACCCAACAGACAAAGGGAAAAGGGACAGAAGTTTAGTAATTGCAAAGATTGGGAGGAAAAAAGTCTGGGCATGACAGAAGAAAAGAAGGGAGGGGTTGTGGCAAAGGATCTGTTTTTTGTCACACCTTGTCACAGGGAACAGCAGGGGCTGGGAGGTGAAATGGCAAATCTGTAAAGACTCTCCAAGGGCCAAGTCCAACAAGTTTTGGGCATCTCCCCTGGCAAGTGTTTAGGGGATGGATGCTCTCTGGGTCAGAGCTGGCTTTGTGAGATGGCAGAATTCCCTGAATTAGGGCATGAGCTCAGTGGCACAGGGTCAGGAGGGTGTTTGGCCTGTGAGCAGCAGTGCAGGGATAAGCAAAGATGTAACAGCCCTTAACCTTTCTCTCGGGTAAAACGTGACAACTGCTGGGATCTGCTCAGAGGGTCAAAGGTGCTGATCTGGCATCTGTTACCTCTGATTTGTTCTTCACTGGGGTACTCCTGGCTCCACAGTATCCATGCTGTGGATGGCTGGGACAGCTTCCAGGGAAAGGAGGAAAGATTTTGACACCTGTAGCTGAATGTCACTGCTTTTGTTTTGGCAAAAGACAATGTCCTGTTGTAGCTCCCCTTTGGTCTGAGGTGGGCAGAGCCCATCACACCCCCTGAGGTGGGTCCTTGTTGCAGTGCAGCAGTGCCCTAAATGCCCATGAGGCCCTGGCAGATTGTCCAGAGAAGCTGCCCCATCCCTGGAAATGTCCAAGGACAGCTTGGACGAGGCTTGGAGCAACCTGGGATAATGGAAGGTGTCCCTCCCCATAGCAGGGGGGGCTGAAACAAGGTGATCTTTAAGATTCCTTCCAAACTAAACCATTTTATGATTCTATCAACAAATTTTGGGGTTCCTCCACCCAACCAAGCCATCCTATCACTTAAAAATTATGGGCCTAACTCAGCGGTACTTCTGTACAAAACAACTCCTGTCCACAGTAATTTCTGCTTCCAAACCCCCTCAGCTGCTGGGTGGAAAGGATGGTGCTCTGTTCCTGCAGAGCAGCATTTAGAGAGCCCAAGGGCCATCCTTCTGGCAGTGTTTTCCTCTCTTGGGAAGGCTGCCTTCCCTCAAAGGAAGGAGCAGAATGCTTCTGGGAGCCTCCGTCCCTGAATAGTCTGCACCATCTGCTGGCATAAGAGCAGGACTGACTCACTAACCATGAATTTTGGGGATGCAGGCGACTTTGGGGAATAAAAAGTCCTGGCTCCAGCCTCCAATTATGCATTTCTTCCAGTCTAAAAGGGGAAGAATGGCCCGAGATAATGCCTACCCCTCTAACCAATGTAATGACACAAACCCTTCAGAAAGAGGCTGTAATTACAGAGCCCTGCAATTTTAACAAGTAAACCCACAAGAATTCAGCCTTTCTTACGAGAGGGCACAGCTCTAGCCCACAGGGAACATTTTAGCTTATTTATTTATACAGATTCATTCCTAGCATTCAGAAATACCATTCCATGCCTTAGGTAAGTCTTCTTTGGCTACTGTAACCTCCCTGAATGCCACCCTGTTGCACTGCAACCGCTGCAAAATTTGAAGCTCAAGTTTTCCTTTTCACGCCTCTGCCCTCCAGCTCCCGCTTTTATAAAGTTTTTTCCCTTGTTCTCAGTTTCCTGAACAGCTTGGTTCTTATTTCCTATTTTCTGTCTTGCTGCCATCACTCCTCCTCCAAGCTATTCTTGTCAAACTATTAATTTCATCTTATTTGACAGTACAGCAGCCCTCCATGACTGTGCTTCGCTCAACAAATTATCAGTTACACCAACCATAAGACTCTTTTTCACTCCACTGACTTTCCAGAAGAGGCAGTTTGTAAAATGCAAAGTAATATTAATGTTTCTGCTCAGGAGTTTCCACTTTGCATTGCTAAAGCTTTCATTTTGACGGAGCTGTATTCTGAAAAGACATGACTAGCACAGGGTGTCTGCTCTATCCATCTGCACCACTGGCTCAGAATATCAAATAAGTCCCACTTTCTTTCATATTAGATGTATTTTTTTCCTTACCTAGAGCAAATTCATATCACCAGTAATTCCACAGTAGAGGTGAACCCTGTCAGAGAGCAAACTGAGACCAAACCAGAACAACAGCAAAATGTTTGTATTGATTTAATAAAACTGGTTTTGTTAGATGAGTTTAATGCACCATTTCAGGAATACCCTTCACCTACAGGAATAAAGTTGGCTTTGGTCTGTAATAACATTCTATGAAACTACCACTCTGATTTAAATGGTTTTAAAACCAAACCTGTATTTAAACAGACGGATTTTCATTTGAAGATAGAGACAAGACATAAAAACTTCTCTAGTAGTCCTTCCATAAAGGGCATTTTAACAGCACAAACAAGGTATCACAAAGAGATGAAAACCACCAGAAAACATCTCCACAGCCAACACCCCCATTCCTGGGCTAAGAATGGAAGAATAACAAGTACAATCTTTTCTCTGCAGATGATTTTGCACAGAGCAAGCTGAGAAGCAGCTGAAAGCAGAGCTGCTACCCCTCTGGTTAGGAGGGCTGGCCTTTGAAGCACTGACTAATCACAGGGCACACCTGATTTGCTTTCCTGGCTTGCAAAACCAGCAGCTAATGCACCTCTGAGCCCATCCTTCCCCCTTTGCTGAGGGGCTGGATGAGCCCAGTGCTCACTGGGAGGAGCCCCTCGTTACCTGCTGGCAGGGAGCCCAAAGAGATGTCCCAGACTGGGGGCCCTGACACCACTGCCTTTGCAGCGTTTCCAAACAGAAAACCAGCTGGATCTGGTTAGCTACGTGTCCAGTTAGCCCAGTGTCCTGCTCCTTCCAGTAACCATGGCTGAGGAAAAAAAAGAATGGCAAGGGTCAAGGAAAACCCACTGTTCCCTGGCTGTGTTGCCCAGCTGGCCATTGGTAGCCTTCAGGGGACCTTTGTTCCACTAATTTGGTTTGGGTTGGGTTTTTTACCTCAAATCTATTTTTATCGTTCATCTTCTGCAATATCTAGTTATAATGAGTTTTACAATTTAATACTTGTTTAAAAATATATTCACTTGATTTAAATGTGCACGGGTGGGTGCTCCCCTTGAGCCTTCTGTGGAAAGTAATAATGGAACCCCTCTTCTTTCTCCATATCATTTATCATTTGGAGACCTTCTACAAGATTCTCTTAATTCATCTTCTTTTTTAACAAGTCCTTGGCTTTCCAGCCTTTCTTTTCAGCCAAAAAACTTTAAGTCAGTTAATGATTTCTTGTTAACTAGTAACTATCACTGGATACAAGCAGTTCCCAGCATCTTAACTGCCTCAAACAACAGAATTCTGTTTCCACAGTCTCTCCATTAAATCTTGGACATAAATCTATAAATCCATTAAACACTACTGCATTAACCATACCTCTGAGACAGAAGGAATTCCCTGATGTGACCTATGGCAGAACAGCAGGGATAAAATACTTGCTCAAACAGGGCAGGGCGTGTTTGCCTTTCCTACCTGTGCTTTACCCACCAGGCTGCCCTTGGCAAGGAGATTTGTTTTGGGGTGAAAAAAGGGTTGAAAAAATAGTGCAATTCAGGGCGAGGGTGGCAGGGGCAGAAAATGGGAGCAGAGCACTTTAAGAGAGCCCTGGGAAGCTGTAACCTGAAGCCTGCCGAAGGCTGGGCTGGGGGAAGCAGCAAAAAGCAGATGTGGCTGCACCAAACCCGAACTGTCCTCGACTCACACCCGCTGGGAGCCCCGAGAGCAGCGGCCGAGAGGAGCCCCAGGTAAGGGACAGCTCAGGGACAGCTCACCTGTGCCACTGCCAGCGGCCAGGCGAGCACAGGGCAGGGGCTGAGGCTGGGCAGCTCTCACAGGACCTGGGAAATTGGAAGAATGGTTCTTCTGCAGGTGGGATTCCCACCAAGAGACCTCACCAAGGATCGGGAGCCACCAGCATCAGCTTTGCCCCCGGGGTTGGGCTGTGCTGGGGAATTGGGGTGGGTTTTCTGCCTTTCAAGCATCTGCCTTGCAGCTGGGCACATGTTCTTTGTTTGTGATGGTGTGACAGTCAAATCCTCTGGAGCTGGTGGCTGCAGGATGCTCCAGGAGCTGTGGAACAAGCAGAGCGAGCAGCCTGAACTCATGGGTCCTGTTTCACAGCACCTCTAAAGTCAGAAGTGTTTATAAATGATGTGAGAGACTTGTACCACTGTAGGTGGAAAGTAAAATATTTCACTTGCACCTGCAGGCCTTCACAAATCGACAACTCCCAGACAGAAAGTTCCTTCTCAGCTCATTTCTCAAGGTTTTCTTCCTGTACTTTTTGACTGTAACATCACTTGCTGTTGCTCCTTCTCTTCTCCTTCAAGGCAGCCACAGATTTTAATATCATGCCTGAAACCATCCCACCTCCGATCCAACCAAATTCTTTTCTCTGCATTTCTGGCTGTGTGCTAAGAGAAATACAAATAGAATCCAGATGTTCAGGCCAATTCAAACGCAAAAGGCTTTGTCTTTTTAAAATGGAAATTGCTTTTTGGCGAAGTCTGAGAAATATGAAGCTGGTGACAGTACTGGCAAAAACAATACAATCTGCAAAACCAATCTCTGCTCCCATGCTCCCAGGAGCTCAGTGTAGCTGGAAGCAGAGGTTGTGTTGAGATTATTTTCTTTTTCTTCAGAGAAAAGGTTATGCTCCATGGAAAAGCTTCATCTCTAAGCTAGACTGGGCCAAACCTCTTCCTCTCAGCATGCAGGAGTGCAGTTTGGCACAGGCATCCTCACAGAGCCCTTGCTTAGCCTGTTAGACTTAGCCTCATGCAGGACTTCTGGCATCTCTCTTCCAGCATGGTGCCTGTCCACTGTAAATCTCTGGAACGACAGGAGCAATCCCAGCATCATATCCACTATCACACCATCAGATAGTAAATCCTCTTGATGCACATCTTCTGCACCAGAAACCTCACCCATTCTGCAGCTGGGATGGCAGCAGGTTGCAGGACGCAAGTGCATGGGGGGAAAGAGGGTACCACTTCTGTGTTACACTGGCTGAACACAGATGAGAGCTTAAAACCTTCCCTGTGATGCTTTTTTCTCCAAGGGAGAGCTTCCTCCACAAGAAAAGGCAGGGAAGGGAAACAACAAACTGCCTCTCAGCCTGCCTGAATGGGGTCTTGAGCTGGGGCTGTTGTCGCCACGTGTATTTCTAGCAGCAGGCATGTTTTCTTTGTAGCTGAAGTTAATCTGAAACACATGTTCTTCTTCCTCTGATTTCTCTAGTTGCCTGGATGACAGGGGTTAGTTAAATACAACCCTCTTCCTTTAATTTCTGGGAATCTATCTAAACATTGCTTCAGGCCAGCCTCAGCGGCGTCTGTTCTCGGGGGCAGGATGCTTCAGTAGCTCTGGTTTACCCACAGCAAAGCCCTGGGCTACTCAGTGCCCTCTGGACCAGACAGATCTGTCTGGGAGGGCCACTCATCCCAGTACTGGAGTGATGAAAAGTGGATTCTACATAAGGAAGTTGGGGAGTTTGGTGGTTTTCTCCCACCTCCATTAAAAATTTCAAATAAGCCAAGCTCTGCCTTCCACTTCTTCAGGTTTCCTTACTGTCTTTTAAGAAACCTCTTCCATTTTACTTCATCAGATTGCAAATAAGAAGCAAAGAATGGACAAAGGTACATGTAGACACAAGAAACAACAAACTACTGCCTGAGGCAGGTAATTTGTATATCAAACCAGTCAGTGTTGCCGTCTGCCCCATTCAACAATATGGATTTGGTACCTTTTATAAATGAAGCCTTGAATTTTTTTGAAGCCTAAGACTCAGAAGTAATGATTTGGTGCTTTTCTGGACCTTGGCACTCAGTAACTGCCAGCATCAGTGTGGTTTGGGCCACACACATCTGCTTTTGTGCTCAGGCACACCCACACCGTGTGCTTGCCCAATTTTAAAGTCACTGGGGCCAGTCTGGCTGAATACTTCAAACTAGAGAAGGAAACCTGGCTCAGATCAGGTGTGTGCTTCACAACTGGAAGGACAAGCAGCAGCATCTGTCACTGCAGCTCCCATCACAGCCATGTGCAGTGAATAGTCGTGGTAGAGGAGAATTTACGTGATTGCTCAAACTCTCTCTGTCATATTCTTACTCTGTAGGTCCAGGCATGCAGATTCCAGTGGTTCTCCTTTTCCTGGGTCTCTTAACTGTCCCAAGCAGAACCCAGAACTCAGCTACTGAGCAGGTGAGTAGGAGACAATATGCAGAGAGCAAGGGGAAGAGGTGTGGAGCAGGTAATTTAATTTTAGAGATTCTTACCAAAGGATTAAGCACTACCCCCCTAAATTACTGGGATTTTATTTAGCAACATAATGAGACTAACTCCTGCTTTACCTGGATAAAACCACAGTAGCTATATCAGGGGATGATCAGGAGGCAGAATTTCAAACTCAGTGCTGCCTTTGGCACTAAAGTAACCGTTCCTACACTCTGTGTAAGATTAAGTCAATATTTCTGTGGGTCATTGAAGAATATCTGTAGCTGTTTGCCTATGAAGTGTTTACCACACCTGCAAGTCTAACCAAAGCACTCCTTGGACCTGCCAGAACTCTGCCACAGCTGATGGAGCCAATGCTGGTGAGGAAGAGGAAGATCCATTCTACAAGAGCCCTGTGAACAAGCTGGCAGCTGCAGTCTCCAACTTTGGCTACGACCTGTACCGCCAGCAGTCCAGCCGGACAGCCACGGCCAACGTGCTGCTGTCTCCCTTCAGCCTGGCTACTGCACTTTCTGGTCTCTCACTTGGTGAGTTCTTTGCCCCATTTCCACACCCACCCTCAGGTTTGGCAGCCCTTCCCTCATGTTTTCCTGCTCGTTGGCAGGGGCTGGAGAACGAACCGAGGATGTGATTTCTCGCGCCCTCTTCTACGATCTGCTCAACAAGGCTGAGGTCCACGACACCTACAAGGACCTCCTGGGCAGTGTGACTGGGCCAGAGAAGAGCATGAAAAGTGCCTCCCGGATCGTCTTGGAGAAAAGTAAAAGTCCTTCTTCCCCTCTACAAAATTTTACCTAAAAAGCTGTCAGCAGTAGTTATTTTGGTGTGAGTGTATATATAAAAACACACTGAGTAACATAGCACTAACAGCTCTGGCTCTGACATCCTGCTGAGCCAGGATGCAGACAGGGCATGGAATGCTCTTGCTGCTCCAGAAAAAGCCTGGAAAGTTTGTGTGCACTTAAATAAAAGACCAGACACGCACATAAAGACATTGGTGACAGAACAGTTAACTCAGAGAAGACCTAAAAGAAACTTGCTGATAATTTTGCCTTCACTCCAGGCTGTCTGGCAGGTGTTGCTGGCTTCCAGGAACCACAGATCCCATTTTCTATTTGTGATAACACTCAGCCATATTCCTTTGTTTAATTCCTTGCAGAGCTATTTGAACTGTCTGCTTCTGGCATGCAATAAACATCTGCTGAGAATGCTAAGAGCTATCTTTTGGAACCTGCTGGTTCCAAGAATCCAATAGGTTGAGTAAGCTGTACTCAGAAAGCAGGCTGGGGAAAGAAGAAAGGCTGATGTGGGAATGGCTGTGTCCAAGCCTTCAGTTCTTATCTCCTTTTTTCAGTTTTCAGAAGAGAGTTATCCCATGCTCCACCATGGGTGGCTGTAGGATTTGGATCACTTTCCTTAATGTGCTTTCAGATATTCCCCTTCAAAGCAGGTTTCTGGAGACAAACAGGCACAGATATTTTATAAGAGACCTGCTGCTGGGCTTTGGATTGCCACCTGCTGCCTTGAGATTGTTTGGATAAAGGAGCTAACTGCAGCATCCGTGTTTTTATTCCCCAGGACTCAGGGCAAGGCCTGGATTTCACAGCCAGCTCGAGAAGTCCTACAAGATGAGACCAAGGGCACTGAGTGGCAACACCCAGCTGGACCTCCAAGAAATCAACACCTGGGTCCGACAGCAGACAAAGGGAAGGATCATGAGGTTCATGAAGGACATGCCCACAGATGTCAGCATTCTCCTTGCTGGGGCTGCTTTCTTCAAGGGTAAGAATGCTGGACACAGAAAAAGTGCATTAAGCACATGTTAGAGGAGATGTGAAGGAATGCTCTCACTTCCAATAAAGCAAACAGGCTGTAAAACAAAGAGTGTGAGAAGAAAGTGTTTGAGAATGTTTAGTAAAGAGGGAAAAAAAAGCATACTACCTGGACAAAAATAGTCCAGAGGGAGGAATTATTACTCTTGGGAAGCTGAATCTTGACCTGTTTGCAGTAAGAATTAGAGAGGGAAGTTTAAACTCACAAAACTCCATTCAGAGATGGGATATTACCATTTAGGGAAGGAACAGCTCAGAGTGTTCTGAGCCTTCTTACCACTGTAGAAGGAACAATTTGATACTAGAGAGCTGTTCTTAAACATACTGTAAGCCAGTGTCTTGGAGAATTATTGCTTAGAGACAAGGAGCAAAATAAAGGGTGGGGAGAGAAGCACTTTATATCCATTGACACAACAGTTACCCTTTAAAATAGTTTTGTAATTACATAAGTAGACATCAACTTCCCACTGGCTACTCCACCCATACACTGGCTTCATTATTTATTTGCCATTTAGCCAATTCTCAGATGAAAAGGAGGGGCCAAGGATGGCAGTAAATCAGTAGCTCCTATCAGTCTATTTCTATCCCTGTTATGCCTCAACTCCTTAATGCACAAATACTGAACATTAGAGCACAAGATTATTCAGCCACAGGCATAAGCCTGGTTTCATATGCTATTATTCCAGAAAAATCCTCCATTCTCTCTCTTATAAAACAGGGACATGGAAAACCAAGTTTGACACCAAGAAGACTGCCCTGAAGGACTTCTACCTGGATGAGGACAGGATTGTGAAGGTGTCCATGATGTCAGACCCCAAAGCCATCCTGAGATATGGTTTTGACTCAGAACTCAACTGCAAGGTCAGACAGCAAATATTGCCTAAGATCTCCTAAACCTCCTGAGGAGCAGGTTCAGCTACACCTACCTGTTAACCCATCCCAGCCTTGCTCCTCCCATCAGCTACTTTTGCAATCCCTATTTTGAAAGGCAGTGTGTTGACTCTTAGGATATCCTGCTTCTACCCAAGCTATGTCACAAGCAATCCAAAATATAAATTATGCCCAGGTCCTACCAGCCTGTATTGCTTGACTTAAAGTTGGGCAAGAAGGGCAGGGCACACCTCAAAACTCTTCCATCTCTACCTCTTTCAACCAATCTTTCCCTGGAGCATGAGTTCAAAGGTGTTCAAGTGAGAATTCCCCAAAGCAATGCTGCAGGATTCAGCAGGTGAGAGAGCACTTCCATAGCAGGAAGAGTGCAGCAAGGATGGATGAAAGCCTGGGGAAACAGCCTGAAGTGTCAAGAAGCATCTTGTCAAATAAAAGCAAACAGGGAAAATATCAAATGTTCACTGAAAAGGTTGAGATTCCAGCCTGAGCATCAGGCCACTGCCTGGTACAGGATGGGCAAAACTTTATTTTTGATGTGGCCCTTTCTTATCTCTCTCTTATTTCTGCCCTTGCAGATTGCCCAGCTGCCCCTGACAGAGGGAATCAGTGCCATGTTCTTCCTGCCCACAAAAGTGACCCAGAACATGACTCTGATTGAGGAAAGCCTCACTTCTGAGTTTGTCCACGATGTGGACAAGGAGCTGAAGACAGTCCATGCTGTGCTGAGCCTGCCCAAACTAAAGCTGAACCACGAAGAGGCACTTGGCAGCACACTAAAGGAGACAAGTATGTGCATCACACCCCCCTTGCAGCCTGCCAGGGCTCAAAGCAGTGGTCAAGTTGCTTCCTGCTCTCAGATTATGAAGCTGGTGGGTTGTTAGGTATGGTTGTGGAGATTTCACCAGCAACCAAATCAACTTCATCCAGGATTTCTCAGCTTTTTATCACATTCCTCCACCAAGCTCATGCAGTGCTGCTGAGATTGTGGGTGAAGCTCAGTACAAGCAGATGGAAGCTGCTCCTCCCTCTTCCCCCAAAAAACTCTGCCCAAGCAGCTCCCTGCCCTCGTGGATCACACGTTAGCAGTGCTGCTCCCCCTTCTGCAATCCATGCCTCCAGCTAATGGAACTTTCTCTCTTTTCTCCAGGGCTCCAATCACTTTTCACATCACCTGATTTCTCCAAGATTTCTGCCAAACCTCTGAGATTATCTCATGTGCAACACAAGGCAATGCTGGAGCTTAGTGAGGATGGGGAAAGATCCACACCAAACCCTGGGGTCAGTGCTGCTCGTCTGACCTTCCCCATAGAATACCACGTGGACAGACCCTTCCTTCTTGTACTGAGGGATGATACCACTGGAACCCTCCTCTTCATTGGCAAGATCCTGGATCCCAGGGGTGTTTAGATCCCTTCACAATAATCTGCAATGGTAGGGGCCAAATGGAAAGGGTGATATTGGGAGGGATACTGGCTCCCTGCTCTGCTGCACAAAGACACAATTTGCAAATCTTACGCCTTCATGCTGCAATAAAAGAGCTTTTGCTATTAATCTCAGCAAGCCCAAGTATTCTCCCTTGAAAGGTTATCTGCCTACACTCCCAATTTCCCCAGAGGAGGAATGCAGTTCTGTGTCCTGAAAGCAAACATTATCTGGTGTATGTTGCACTGTTCCCCATCCTGTTTTCCAACCTGACACCAGTTGTTGATTCTGAATCCCTCACCACTGACAGACCTGTGCTGGAGCCCTCCAAGTTCTGCAGTGCCCCCTTTTATAGACTGTAAGTTTGCACTTCCCAGGCTCTTGCCTCACCCCTTCCAACCGTTTCCATTTGACACTGGCAAGAAGGAAAGTGCCTCACAGTATTAAAAATAGAAGGCAACGTGCTCTGGATGACTGTATGTTCATAATGCTCAGGGCACCACACAGGGGAGAGTCACACCTCACACAAAAGCAACTCAAACATTTGCTTCCAACCCACACACAGAACTTACACAACAGCCTCTGTTCCCACCATACCACACACACCTCTCACGTTAGAATTGGTCATTTTATTTACAACAGGCTCACTAAAGAGCATTTCAAGACTTCATTCAAGTTGCTGTTACACATGATTTTCCAGCTTGTACTACATGACTACCCTACCACATGACACTTAGCTTTGATGAAAGATCATATTGCAGCTTCCTTTGACAGGGAAATTAAGTCCTCTGAAGGATGTTTCTGGGAAGCTCTGACAGGCAGGCCTTCATCTCTTGTAGTTCCTGGATCTGAGCACTCTGAGGACCAAAGTGCACTGACAAAATCCCCTCTGCTCTTTGAATCGTGCTCAGAGCTTCAGAAACTGAAAATCTGAAATAGGAAGATAATAAGAACAGAGCATGAAAACTACTTAATTCAGCTTCTTGACTTAAACAACCTTTAAGCCCTCCCTAACAAAAACCTAAACCTGTTCATGGCTACAGATGTCACCCTCCCCTGCCTTCCAGCAGCAGGAAAATTGTGTCTGCTTCAGCTGAAAAGGGAGGATGAGGGGAATGGAAAGGTAAGGAGATGGAAAAAACCTGAAAACATTATCTTTGAGTATACAGGAACCCACTACTTCATCACTGCAGCTCCTGCTAAAATTAATTTGGTTAAAGGGAGCTGTTGTGAGGAGATTTTCAGAAGCAGTCAGGGGATTTCCTTGCCAATAAAGCAAGAGGATTTCATTCCCTCTTTTGAGAGGATGTCAGCAACATTATACAACTGAGATATAAACACCAAGGGTGATGAGTCGACAGAATAAAACAATTGGACAGGGAATAAATTGAGAGAAGAAAAAGATAGACAGGCACAAAGGAGAGAAACAGATTCCTAAGAGAATACCTGTGCTAGACTGCCCTGTGTCCAGTGAGACACCCTCCAGGTGCCTTGATATTGTGTCAGAAACACAGGAGTGGTGTAGAGCAGGGACAGAGGGTGAAACCAAACTCACCCATTGAAGAGGATTTGTGCCAGCTTGAAAAGTTCATGGCCTGTTTCTACACTTGATGGCCCATGGTGCATTTCCACAATCTCAATACTCTTCTTCAGGTGTCTGGCTGCTTCCTGCCACTTCCCTGATGGAAAAACAAGCAAAACAAAACAATGAGAAATTAATAAATATTTCCTAGAGCTACTGTCACCCAAAGAATCTGACAGAATTAATGAAAATGTGGTGAATTCTGTCCACAGAACCAGGACAGGGAATCAAAAAGAACATGAGAGCACAGTATTATTGTTCACTGGCTGCTGGGAAGACAGGTTTGGTCTTTCTGAGAGCCCTGCTGACAAAACCAGGGAACAAAATGAGAGGGCTGGTCCAAAAAAAAGCTAGTCATGTTAAATTCAAAGTTCAGGAGACATGGGATAGTGAGAGGACAGTGCCATACCAAGAGTAGCATAGACCTGTGCCAGATGATCCTCCATCTCTCCCATCAGCAAATGCTCTGGAGACAAGAAGGTTCTAGCATCCATCTGACACTTCAGGAGCATTTTGATAGCCTGATCTATCAAAAAAAAAAAAAAAGGTTATAAAGTTCACCCTGTGGCCAGTGTCCAGTTTTCCACGATCCATGAAATAAAATCAATCCAATCTCATCTTTGCACAGCTGACTGGGGTTTGGTTAGGATTCAACACTGACTTCATCTGCACCTCTGCTTATTCTACCCCAACACTGGCCCAACTCCCTTCAGGAAAACAAGGCCTGGGAATGCCCAACTCCAATGTTACCCTGATTTCATTTAATTACTTTACTATGGAACAATATATGACTTAGATTAACACCCAGATCAGGAAAACAAGGCCTGGGAATGCCCAACTCCAATGTTACCCTGATTTCTTTTCATGTAACTACTTTACTATGGAACAATATGTGACTTAGATTAACACCCAGATCGGGGGGTATAAAAAATCTAAAGCTGAAGTCCCCAGGGACACCAGGCCACATGTCACAGCACCCCAATGGCATGAGCAACAGTGCCATCTCATGGTTTCTGTCCCAACCTGGCCTCCTCAGCTCCGGACCTCAGGGCACAAAGCTGAGCCTTACCAGCCTTCCCGACTCTCAGCAGGTCTAAAGCTTTCCTGATTTGCTGCTGAAGGTCCTGTAAACGGCCAGACAGGTGATCTCTGCTGGCTGAGGTTGCACAAGCTTCGTTTGAACAGCAAAGTGTGTCTTCTTCCCCCTGTGGAAATCACCTTTGTGATCATTCCTGCTTCCATTCAGCTTAAAGCTTACTCTCCATCTGCATTAGTTCTGGGTTACAGAGATGCTAAATTGTTTCTCAGTTGTATTAATTAAACAAAGTGATTTGTAAAAATAAATTGTTATCAGCTTATTTGATTCTATAAGAAACAGTGAGATACTGTCTTGACTCAACAGGGGCTTTTGTCTTCTGAGCAGGGATCAAAGTGAGGTTTTTACCTCTTGGCTTTCCCAGACCCAAACCTTACACACCCCAGTAAGTTGCACAATCATAACTATGGAGAATTACCTGCATTTGAGCCTGGCATTTGGGACAGCAGAACGAATTTCTGATGGACACCACACTCTTAACACCAGAATCTAACTCCTCGAGGCATGCTGGGCAGCGACACTCAAAGAAATACTGACTGAGAAGCTGCTGTCTCTCAGCAACCCTCATCCTACACCAGTGGGGCCCTGGAGAGGATGGCAAGGATAGAGATCACTCACAGGTACAGTTCTTAATATCAGAATAAATGGATTTTTGTTACAATTGAGACTAGGTATATTTTGGGGAGGACACAACTGGAGATTGAAAATCTAACAGAGGGCTTAAGGGATGAAATGTTGGTCAAGGCTGCTAAACAAAGACTCTGGAAATATTAGATGAGAATTATGATATAAATAGCCATCAACATGATAATGGCAGGTGAATAATGTCTGTGCCTTGAGACAAACACAGAATTGGGGCTTACCATAGCAGTGCAAAACCTCTTGGCCACTTGAGATTGGCTGTGCTGCCCTGACAGTGGCAGCTGTCCCACTGAATGACACGCTGGTATTGGGGCAGCACGAGTGGTTCAGGAGGCTGAGGACAGGGAAGAAGGCTGTTGCCAGCCTCACAGGCTTCTTATCTACAACAGCCCCATCTCCAGGCCCTGAAGACAGAGGAAAACCAAGCAGGTTGAGATTGAATGCTCACAAACCCACACAATTTCTGCAAGGAGCCCCGTGACCGATCGCAGGCAGCAGCAGAAAGGTTCCTGGTATATTGCTGCAATAAATAATAGCTAAACACACTCTGCATGGGCACCAAGGAACAGGCCAGCGTGGGACAGGCCATTAAATTGTAAACAAGTCATTTCCATCTGCAATGGGAGCTCTTTACAGCTAAGAATTTAATCTCTTCACTTCTCACAAGAAGATGGGCAAGGAGAGCACAGTCCTGGGCTCCTCAGGACAGGAAAGAGGAGCTACTGGAGAGGGTCCAGTGGAGGACACAGAGATGATGAGGGGTCTGGGGCATCTGTCTTATGAGCAGAGACTGAGGGAGCTGGGCTTGGTTAGTCTGGAGAAGACTGAGAAGGGATCTCATCAATACATACACAAATACAGGTGCCAGAGAATGGTGATGGACTCTTTTCTGTAGTGCCAGGATGAGGAGCAATGGCCACAAATTAAACAAGAAGCTCCACCTCAACATGAGGAAAAACTTCTTTCCACTGAGGGTGGCAGACCACTGTAACAGGCTGTCCAGGGATGTCTGGACACATTCCAAACCCACCTGGACATGTTCCTGTGTCACCTGCTCCAGATGGCCTGGGCAGAGGATTTGGACTGAATCATCTTCAGGGGTTCCTTCCAACCCCAACCATTCTGTGACAACACCGTAGGGCTTAAAATTTTATCTTACCCAGCTCCTGCATTACAGTGATTGCTTGTGCGTTACACTGCAGCTGCAACACGTGCCTCAGCATTGCTTCTGCCACAGTCTTCAGCTCTGGGGACAGCCCATCTGAGGTTTTCTCACATGTCTTTGGTTTGGACCACTGCTGAGGCGATTCCTGACTCAACACAGCAGCCTCCAGGCCAGCTGCTTGCAGCTGTTTGCACAGAGCTACCACACTGAGTGTGCAGAGGAACTTGTGCTCAGGGCTGTGCTGCTCAGTGTGGGGCAAAAGGTGGAACAGAGCTTGGTAAGAGCTCTGGTACCGACCACTGCTGTCACAACCAGGGACACCACTGCTACCAGCTCCTGCATCTGCTGCCTCACTGAGAGGCTTGCAGCTCGCCTCAGGGTTCTGAAGGTTCTTGTTCCCACAGTGGGACCCTGCCACCAGCCTGCTAACCTCTGCAAATCCTGCCAGCAGGACAGTCCTCAAGGCCACGTGGCAGAAGACCCCCAGCGTGAGGAGCAGCGCTCCCAGGGAACACTCTGTCCTGTGGTACTGCTGCCATGCCACGTCTGCACAGTCCTGGCTGCAGTACTTGGCATAACTGCAGCCCTGGCAAGGCACCGAGGCCAGGAGCTGCCTCAGACAGCGGTGGCAGTAAAGATCTGCGCTGGT